AGAACTTGGGAAGGAGTGGTCTGACAAAGCAAATTTTCCTCAAGTGCAACGTAGATGAAGTGAGAGTACCTAGCATCTTTGATTAGCTACCCATCCTCTCAAAATCGAATATAGTTACTTGAATGACCACCACAACAAAACATCCTGCTTTATAGGAAGATTACAAGCACCAATGACAGCTAAACTGATGGTTTTTGTGGCCTTTAGAGTTCCTTGCAAACAGACCCAGATCTCCTCCTCCATTTCATGCCCATATAAACCATGCCTGATTTTTTCATTTTTCTCCTTTAGTGCCACATTTTCTGCCTTGGCTCCACTAATTGGTGTGTATTCTGAGGACAGGTGCCACCAGCCTAAGCTCTCATGGGATCATGGGGCTGGGACCGCCTCATTCACTTGCTCTCTATGCACCTCTTTTGCTGTCAAAGCTCTGCTCCAAGCGGATTAATCTAAACTGTCTCAACTGAACTCGACTAGCATTCTTTCCCTCAAATATGTTTTTATCTAAAACACAAATGGCAAATATATTTATAGCCTTTATTCAGAGTGTCAAGTACAAGTTGCAGAGAAGAGAATGATAACTCTGTCTGGTGGAGGGGAAGGAAAGAATTAGGAGAGGAAATGAGGTTTAAGTTGGGTTTTAGGATCTGCTGTGCTGGGAGAGGATGAGAGGAAGTCAAGAGGTGTGAAATAGCATGGCATAACTGGGGAAAAAGAAGGATGGATGTGATCTTAATGAAGACATGAGTGCGGGGAAGTGGTGGTGAATGAAGGGGCTAGAAAGGCAGGCAGGGACTAAAGATCACAAAAGGTCTTGAATGTCAGGCTAAGGGAACTGTATTTATCTTATGAACAATCATAGTAAAAGCTGGCCTTAACTGAGTATATAATATGTGCCAGACACTGTGTTGTGAGCTTTCTGTGAATTGTTCACTTAAGTAAACAGCAACATTATGAAAAACTAATGAATGAATGAAAATGTTAATGAAAAACTTAAGTAAAAAGCAACATTGGTATCTCTGCTCTAAAGATGAAGACACTAAGACTAAGAGAGGGTAAGAAACTTACCCAATGTACGATCAGGACTTTTTTGAAATATTATACCACCCAAAAGGGGTGAGAATTCAAGGCAGGAAGCACAATTAGGAGGTTACCAACTTGCTTCAGGTAAGGATGCTGAGGATTTGCATCAGTGTGGTGGGATTGGGGGTGCAGTGGAGGACATGATCTAAAGAGCTAACGCTAAGAGCTGGCCAGTTAGCTCAAATGGTTACAGTGCAGCTTTATAACACCAAGGTCACAGGTTCAGATACCTGTACTGGCCAGCTGCCAAAAAAAAAAGTAAAAAAAAAAAAAGAAAAAATTAAGCAGTTGGTTTTGCTAACTGCTTAGGCAGAGCAGGTGTGGCAGATGGAGGAGTTGAGGAAGTCTCCCAGGTTAGGCAGTGTTGACTGATGGGGTCATTTACCAAGGCAGGCAGTGTGTACGTGAGGGAACATTAGGTGAGCGTGATAAAGCCAATCTGGGGCATGTTGAGTTTGAGATGCTCAGGGGACAGATTTCATTCTTTCATTCATTCAATATACATTTCTGCCTACCAATTATGTGCCAGGAACTATGCTAAGACATGTTCCCTGTGTCCACGGAGCTCACCTTTATAGAGAAGCAACTAGCTGTTATACAAATGTAATGATAATGAAAATAATAATAACTTCCACTCATTAAGTGCTTATCATGGTCATTTGCTAAGTGCTTTTTAAAATAATATCCTGATTCACACAACTCTTTTAGGTAAATACATGAATTACAGTAAGAACAAATGCTTATTTGGCACACACCACATGCTACTCACTATTCTAAACACTTTATGTGCATTAATCCATTTAACCAGCAGTAACCCTGTGAAGTATTATTATCCTCATTTTACAGATGAGAAAACTGAAACAGAGGGACTAAATAACTTGCCCAGGTCAGAGAGCTAATAAGTGATAAAGCCAAGACTTGAACCCAGTCTGGGCTGATTTTACAGATTAGGAAACTTAGGCTAAGAAAAATTCATGTAATCTGCCCCAACAAATCAAGTATCTAATAAGAGGTAGAGGTAGGGTTTGGACAAATGTCTCTTCAACTCCAAGCTCCTCTTATTAGCCCCTAAATAAGTGCAATTCTAGAGACCCATGGGTGACATGAGAAAGGGCTCTTTTTTCTTGCAAGATATGAGGGGAAGCAGTAAGAATAGGAACAAATATAGGTAGATTTGTAGATATTCATATTCATATCTCATAATTTCAATTTCCTCCTTGAAGTAGGAGGCAAGAGCATATGCTGAGAAGGACTGAGATGAGGCATCTGGAAGACAGTGAATTTGGATGGTTACTAGGGAGAATAGGAGACAGAGCTGCCCAGAGGTATAGAAAAAGACATAAGCCAACAGGCCAGTCACAATTTTCACACTCATTTTAGACTTCAAAGATTATAGGAAGCTGACTGCTATAGGGTCCTTCCCCACCTACTTGCTCCCAGTTACAATGAAAGTTAAGTGTGAGACATCTATTAGCAAAGACTAAAAATAATCATACAGCCTGTTTTTGCATGAAGCACCTTACATGGAAGGTTCATTCACTGATGGAAGGATGTCACAATATTCTGGCAGAAGGATCAGAAAAGCTTCTAGTCATATCAGCTAACAGATTTAAGTTACCTGTTATTGGGCAAGATACAGGACCATAACAGAATCCTAATCCTACAGTACCACTCCAGTGGTGAGTTACATTCCCAGACTTGCCAAATTCTACTACCTGGTTTATGTAACAGTGGAAATGCTATACAATATAGCTAACTAACTCACATATCTTGAAGACTACTAGGTTGAAAACTGAAGCTGAGATGTCCATTAGGCAACGAAAGCCAAAGATCTTGATTTCAGTACAAAACTGGAGCTGGAGATAAAAGTGGGAATCACCATATGAGTCCTGATAGTTAAAACTAGAAGGGAGGGAGATAACTCAAGATAAAAAGTATAAAGTGGGAAAAGGAAACCAAAGAATGAACCTAAAGAAACCTCAATATTAAAGGTGTAGGCAGAGAACAAGGAATCAGAGAAGGTGACTGAGAAAGAAGTGTTGGAAGGAGGAGAACCAGGGGTGTGTTATAAAAGCCAAGGCAGGAGAATTCAAGGAGGATGGGGGTCCACCTGCTCAAATATGGTATCCCAGAGAAGTCCAGTGGAATAAGAAATTGCCAAGGGCCAACTGGATTTGGCAAAGCTGTGATGGAGAAGAGAGAAATAATCATGACCATGAGCAGAGGCAGAAGAAGTAAACCTTCCCTAAGAGCAGTGATGTTTCTTCTGTAGCTGGAAGGAGGATACTGAGGATGGGGGTTGATGTAAACAAGTCTATAGGAGGGTTGATGGAATTATTGCCTATTCACCCCTATTTTCTCTGCTGATGGTTAAACGAATTAATGCACGTGAAGTGTTTAGGACAGTGTGTAGCACATAGAATGTCCCGAATAAGCATTTGTTCCTACTGTAATCCAAGTATTTACCTAAAAGAGTAAAAGGCACTTCTGAGAGTAACTAGGACTGAATATTTAATTTCTTTAAGATAACAGATGCTGAAATAAAAGAATATGATGAAAGCTGCTCATGTAAATGGAAAAGAACTTCCATAAGCTCCCAACATCACATCTACCTACCCACTGTCACCCGTGTCCACAGACTGCCTTTTCTCTTATTCCATGCTCGAAGCAACAGCCAAATCATGTATCATCCGCACGATTCCATCCTTCTCACTGACTTGTCCACATCCTTCTAGCAATTCTCCTCTCTCTCTGGGATAGTTCACATCAGTATAAAAAACAGGCTGTTATTTTTTTCCATTAAAACAAAAAATCAAACCTAACTTGACCCACTCCCCTTCAAGTTTCTCCTCACCTCTCTCCTTCCATTTATAGAAAAACTTCTCAAAAGAGTTGTCTATTCTTGCCTCTTATTTCTGTCTTCCTATTCTATGCTGAACCCACTCCAATCAGACCTCTGCTCCCACTATTCCATTCAGACTGCTCTCATTAAGGTCACTAATTGCCTCCACATTGCTAAAGCCAGTGGTCAATTCTCAGTGCTTATCTTATTTGACCTATCAGCATCTGTCACAATTCATCTGGAAACACTTTCTTCACATGGCTTGTCCGACACCCTGGGATCCTTCTACCTCACTGCCCACTACTTCTTGGTCTCCATTGCTGGTTGCTCTTCTTCTCTCTACCCTCTTAAGATGGAGTGTCCCAGTGTGCAGTCTTTCTCTTCTCTATTGACTTGCATTCTATAGCTACCAAGTCTACTATTTGTACTTCTTGGATATCCTCCTTGGCTGGTAGCAGTTACTTTGCAAAGCTGTTGGCATATGCCTGCTTCTCACTTGCTCCCCTTTTAAAATAAACAACAGTCCAGATGAAGATCTGAGGGTGGCTCAGTGCACTGTTTCTTGCCATGGGCCCCACCCAGAAGTCCTTATCACTTCTTGCAAGTTTCCAGATCCAGGGGCCTGAATTTGCTAGAAGACTCATCTTCACATGAGTAGGGGTACTACTTTAAGAAATACCTTGGATTACGTAAGTCCTCTCCTTGAAAGGTCACTAGCATGTTCATGCATGCATTATTTTTCCATTTTATCCTCCCATAGTAGAGATAAGATCTAATAAAAAAGAATAAGAGAAACCTCTCTGTCAGAATCCTCTCTTAGCACCTACAGTAGTATCAAGACCCAGAAGTAAAAACTGCTTTATATATCTTTTTAAATGAAGAAATTAATGAGTCATAGTTAAGAAGCCTTTAAACTGTGAGATATATAAAATGTATCAGATAAAATCTTGTAGCTTTTATGAGACTACCTAACCCAGTTTACTTCAGATTGTTTTATCATTATCTTCATAATCCAACTGACAACATACAAACACCCCGATTGCTATTATTAAGTGAATCCATTTTTTGTACCTACCTTATATTTTGAAGTATCCCAGTTGTGGACTATGCGTGCTGGGATGAGAAAGCTGTCATCCACATGGCAGTTGCTGCAGTAATACCACCCACTGTAATTGCACACCTTGGCTTTCCCATTGGAAAGACCTATGGATCGCTGGCATCCTGTTCAAAGCAAAAGAAAGAGTCTGTGATTGTTGTACTTTAAACACCACAGAACAAGGTTACACAACACTCAAGTTAAATGAAAGTCTGCCACAGGAAAGAAGTTGCAGAGAAGACATATATAGATGTGTCCCCTTCTTCCTAGTCTGACAGCCTCCACCCTTCACCTCCTGTAAGTGTCACCTGTCCCCTATCTTTGGTCTCTTCCATCTCTTCTGCATACAGCTGCCAGAGATCAGTCTCTCAACAACCCTCCCTTTATTTCCTTGCTGGCCTGCAGAAACTATTTCCACCAGACACTTTGCTGGGAGCTTCTCATATGGGATCTTGGTTAACCTGCACAACATTTCTATGAGGAAAATATTATCAGCTCTGTTTTACAGATGAAGAAACAAAGATTTTTGCAAAGTGAAATATCTTGCCTGGTGTCACCCAGCCAATAAAAGGTGAAGTTTAAATCTGGCTCTAAGCTTGTCTGATGCTAAAGTGATCCTAAAAACTGATATGTAGCCTTCCTTTGTTTACAAAATCAATGTAAGGAATTTGGCCTTTGACTGGCTCTATCTCACTTTTCCAATTTTCCCTCCTACTACTCTCCAGTGGGAATATAACCCCTTTATTCCAGTCAGAGGACCTTTCTCATTATTCCCCAAACATACACGGTGTGCTAATTCCACCCTCCATGTTTTAGCGCATTTTATTTCTCCTTACACAACATTCTCCACTCTCTCCTTCAACAAGTCTTGCCCATTATGCAAGATCACAGGTTGCCTGCAAGTGATTGCTAATGCTCTTTTCAGATCCAAGAAAGTCCATGATTCTGTGAGTACTGTACTAGTACTGTCAGGGTACTGTCATGGCCTTGCCATAAAGAAGCCATTATTTTTCTTTAGATAGGAGGAAATACCTTTTACTGATGAGTATGGAAATTCTGTCACAATCTTCCCAAAGGACAAAATCCTGGCAGCCCCAGAACAGGTAATCAAAAATATATAAACATCATTTTTCTGATATTTCTGATCTATAGCTTTCATTTTAGAAATCCCTCTGCGTGGTCCATTTAAGACTTGGGTGTCAAGAACTATATTGATTAAGAAATCTGACACTAAGGCTATTTCATAATTTGGGTACAAAAATGAATTACTCTTTTGAAAATAATAACATAATGGTCAATATTGCACCTCATTTTCATTACAAGGAGCTCAAATAGTTTTATTTAGCAAACTGCCAACCTAAGAAGATACATTCACATAAACTCCATGAATAAAAGTCACAAAATTCAACAGAACTTTCATTTCTGTCACAAATAAAATTGCAGCAGTAATCAATCAGTTTCACAGTGCATTGTCCAGAAAGAGAATTAGATCTTACTGTTTTTAAATACAAAAGGTGTTGAAAGACAGTAAGTGAATGTGTTAGTTTTATGCTTCAAGAGTTTGATCCTGTTCCTTCCTAGAATGGCTATTTCTTTACTACTGAGTAGAAACAAAATCATAACAAGCTCCCATTTTTCAGATTGATGGAGGAATGAGAAATGTGTGAAAGATAAGGATGAACCAAACACACGTGTAGCTTCTATTTGACAGAGGAGACAGTGTCACAGTCTCTGGGCTGTGCCTGCTGGAATGCTGTTTGTTGCACTGACTGACTGCGTTACTCATCTGGCATCAAGCACGAGCCTCCTTAAATTGTCCTGCCTTTCTACGGGCTTGTCCAGCCAGGACCACACTATAAATTCCTCAGATACATTTTTTATCCTCAGCATGTAAACACAGCTTTACGCATAGCAGACAATCAATAATAAATGTTTACACTGAAGGGATGATAAACAGTATTATTTGACATATGTACACTCACATACATATAAAGAGATTTTAATTTTCCATAGGTATTCCAAAATTAATCCTCTTAGCCTGGTCACCTGCCTCTCAAAACAGCCTAATTTGGTTAACATCCCTGTTAAAATATGTTGCCCATTCTAAGAAGTATAGATTACACATATGTTCATATATGAATTGTGGAACAGAGTTCAGTGGAACTTAACATGTCCTAGACACTGGGATATTGCTATTTCCAAAAATTAGTAGACAGTCAAATTGACAACACTGAAATGACACTGAATAGAATTCAATCTTTCTTAATGATTTAGAAGTTGATCATAATCTTGCAGAAACTCAGGATATCATTTTAGTTTAAGTTCTCACCATAGAACACTGAAAAAATAAATGAGGGTATTTTATCTTTTTGGTTGCTTGAATTTTGGATATAATAAACATCAGTAAGCATTTGCTGGATATTTACATATTCTTTAGTAGGGACCACTGAGCTTATCAATACATAATTTTAAAGATTTTATTATAAGTTTCTAGATGCAATATACATAGGCAATATTAAAATACACAAATATGCATTTTAAAAAAGCGTAAAACCTAAAAGTGTTTATATCAACCAGGTACACAGGTCCAAAGCTCAGCATGCTGGGGTTCAACTTCACGAGGTAACTAAATGAGCTAAATATCCTTTCAAGTCTGCACAGGTCTCAGGACTCATGAAAGAGAAAAAAGATGAGAGAACATGGCTAGGGTTCATTCAGGTTTTAGTTTGGACAAAAGCAGCAGCACTAAAACTCCTACCTCTGGTTATTGAGTGTCTTTACTTTCATACCTTATTTAGAACCATGAAATCCTAGTCTAGGTGCTGAAATCACTCCAATGACCCAGAAGTAGGCTTGAAACTGTCTGTATGCTTGGGCATGTGGTATAGAGATAAGCATTAGTCTAGAGTCAGGAAGCCTGGATCTGTTCTTGCCTAGGGCACACTGGCATCCCGACATATCAAATTCTCTGTGCCTGCTTCCTCACCACAAAATAAAGGGGTTATCCTAAATTGGTAGATTGTCAGATTCAGTAAGCATCAGAAATATATGGAGATGTTATGTGAAAAACATGGACCCCTCGCTCCCCAAGGTGATTTTGATTCTGTAGGTCTGGGTAAGGACCAGGAATCTGCATTTCTAATGAGCACCCTCTCCCATCCCCAACCCCCACTACCAGGGACTCTGGTAAAAGCTGAGGATTGCTCCCTGATTTCTAGGTGACCTCCAAGATCCCTTCAAGCTCTAAATTCTAATTCTATTCAACAAAAGTGCAGAGGGTATGCAGACTGCTCAATGAAAAGCTCATAATTTATCACAGTTTACTTACTTTTTTTTTTTTCCATGAAACAAACATCTTTATTATGATGTGTGATGTATCCTGATGTTTTGTTTTGAATTCTGGTAGTTATACACCAAACTGATTTTACAACTCCAGTTTTGGAAAACATTCAACCCTTCCAGTGTCCAGATGGTGAAACACACCCAGAGAGAGTAAGTGGCCTGTCGAAAGCCCCCCAAAATTAGTGGCAATGCTGGTACCAGAACCCAGGTATCCTGACTACTGGTCCAGGGCTTTGCATGCCATAGTTTACTTTCTAAGTTTCCAAAGTCAACTTTGCAGGTTCTTAGTCAATTTCTAAAAATTGGCTATGTAGAAACAACCTGAGTTCATTTTACCAGTGTTTTTCCAGAGCATTCTTATCCCCACCGGGAATTATCCTATTCGACTTAGAAAGAATTAAAACTTTTAACCCCCAAATCCAATGTTATTTGTCTTTGAAAGAACATAGGATGGTTGGGAAAGAAGATTAGAGACTACTTACTGGCCTGATGTAGACTCACTTTCTAAAAAACAACACATACCATTTATTTGAAGAAGGAAACACCCGTTCTTTCAATTAACTGCAAGAGTTCCTTTAATATCATACTAGCAAATCATGGACTAAAAATGTCTGAAACAATTCCCCATAAAGACGCTCAATGTGGGATTTTAATTTATCATTGTGAGGTTTTCAATGGGAAAAAATGTGTTTTCTTAACAATGACTGTTACAAAAACACATTTTTTGGAGAGTGCCAAAACTGGACTGAAAAGCAACATTATAGGGAGAAAAACAGAGCTGCAAAGTGGAAACAAAAAATAATTAATTGAAATAACTAATTAGAGCTTATTTACATATTACATTTTTATGTACTTTCAAACAGACTTCTCGACAATGTTTCTAAATTAAAGGGCATTTGTAGTAGGGAACAGTCCACATATTGGATCAAAGCAAATACATTCTTCCCAGTCTCTTTTTGAAACTTTTTGGAGAGTGTATTCAATTCGCACTAACAAAAACCTATCTCACAAGAGAACCCACTGGCCTTTTTTTTTTTTTTTATTGCTTCCCACCCCACTTCAAATCTTTAATGAACACATGCTCTGAAGAGCTAAGCTTCCCCTCTGATACACTCTTGGAAACAAATGCGACCATTTAACTGAAATCCCATTTGCTGCTTGTACAGCCCATTTCCCAAATGGCCTTTCACTAAACATAGCTGAGAGAATCTGTTGCTGGGGGTTGAAGCAGAAATTTTGGCATAATTCTCCACAAAAGAACAATCTTTCTTCTAACCAGTATACCTCGTTAGCTCACTTGGCTGCAGTGTGGTGTTACTGAAGCTGAGATCTTGAGGAAGAGCCAACTACCCTCTCTGTACTTCAGAGCTACCAGCGTCAACCCTCCTTCTCTGGACCAGCAGCTGGAAAACTCATGGGCAGAAGGGGGAAGTAAAAAGAGCTGACTGAATCCAGGTGAATCTCTCACTAAGGAAAGAACTTGTACAATGCTAAGTGTGGTCATGCCACCCCCTTTCCGTGTCTTAAAGTAAACTTTTACCTAATTTGGTAAGGTAAAGCTAGTATTTTGTATTTGGAAGGTAGAAATGCTCTAAGAAAAGAACAAGGGCAAATAAAAAGAAAGAAGAGAAGGTGCCTTTTAAAAGGGAGGAAAAGAGATAAAGAGAGTGAGATGACAAATTTTCATTTGCTCTGTAAAAATAGAAAGGAAAAAAAACAACCCTGGCGAGTTTCCTAACCTCTTTTACTGTATGCACAGGGTAGGAAGAGATGTCCATAGGAG